CAACCGTAACACAACCCTTAGCAGGTAATTTACATGGTCTCTTACTATAGGAAAGTTGAACTATATGTTGCTTAATATGCAGGTTGCTTTAGATCATTAGGTGGAAGAGTAGAAAATAGATTAACAGTAATAACCCTTAGCAGGTAATTTACATTGGTTCTTACTATGGGAAAGTTTAACCATATGTGCTTAATATACAGATTGCTTTAAAACATATGATGGAAAGATAGAAAACAGATTAACATTAATAACTTTTAGCAAGTATTATACATGGAGGTCAGCCCATGCTGTGTGCAGCTACAACATGCTTGCTTTTGTTTTATACTTGCAGTCTTTCAGTGAAATTCAAGCTGCAAATGACGAGGTGGTGAAGCCTGCGGTTCCGGTTCTTTTTCTGTAAGTCCCCAGAGCCGCAATTTCCTTATCCCGTCCTCCGGTGATGTGATAACTTGTGTGGATCCGTCTTTTGTTAACAGCATTTTTGTTGGGAAACCCCAGCGGAATCTGATGCCGTTGGACCGCAATGTGTTGGCTATTTGTGAGAACTCTTTCCTTCTGCGTAAGGTGGAGGCCGAAAGATCCGCAAATATTTTAATGTCTGGGAAGTCTGCCGGCGGTTTTACTTTGTTGCGGCTCACTCGCAATATGTGCTCTTTTATATGATCTTAATGAATGTGCATCAAGACATCTTGGGGTGCTGTTTCAGGCAAGAATCTTGGCCTTGGAAGCCAATGCACTCTATCTATAAGAAACATATCCGCTGGTATCTCTGGGACATATGTATGAAGGAGACCTCTAACATAGGTTTGTAGGTTTTCTGGTATTGATTCTGGTATCCCTCTGAGGCGCAAATGATTTCTGCGCGCCCTATCCTCCAGGTCAGTTAGTTTCAATTCAGTAGCGGTGAGCTTTTGTTCTATCTGTTCCACGTGTGTGGCCAGATCGTTATATCCCGAGGCAAAGTCCTCCATTTTAGATTCAACATGTGATGTCCTTTTGCCCAGTTCTTGAACATCTTTCCTTAATGTGTCCATTGAATGCTGCCAAGTTGTAATCAACTTCTGTGACAGTGCATCCAGTGCCAGCTGTAGGTGACTTTTTGTGAGCTTGTCAGGGTCTGGATCTTTCTCCGTCGGAGTGGGGCACTCTGTGCCGTTGGAGCTGGCGCCTCCATCTTGAGAGAAGGCCTGAATCTCCATCTGCTCGTTTTAACTTATTTCTCTCCTTTTTCATATATAAAATCTAAATATACATAGCTCAACATACAATATATATAATATTCTTTTAAATTGTTTTAAATGTGTGATTTATATGTTTACTTAATAAAGTTTTTGTTTTATGTATTTCTTATATGACTAGTAGCTAATTTCGGAAAGTAATGACACTATTATGTATATAATGAAATTAATCCCAAAGACCACATGGTTGCCGATGCTTTATGAACTGTACAGAATTGAGAAATACAATGGAGTGAGGCGTGTATGCCATTGCACATGTGCGATAATTTCAGACGCAATGGAAACGGAACCCAGAAGTGGCTACACTTTATGTAAAATGGCACCAAAATCCACCCCTAATTAAATAGAACACTATAAAAATGTACAGGGGGAAGGATGGATTATGTACCTGAGGAAGACCTATATGGTTGAAACGCGTAGTGCTTTTATTTTGGACATTTTATTGACTACTTTAGTGACCCATTACCTCTGTGTTTTAAGCATTTTTGTATGTTACAGTATTATGCTATGTAAGCTATTTATATCTGTAATAACTGGCTGTGTTTTTCTATAGTTGAATAAGTCTTGTATGTATATATATATAGATATTTCTTCTTGTCTTCAGTTTATTGATATATATACGTCTTGGGCCAAATGCTCGCCACAATAATATATGTCTATATTATTGAAAATTAGTAATACGCAATCTGACGTTCTTTATAAAAAAATGAGTATTTATTCTACATTCAACAGGAAACAGTTATATATACTTAACAGATGGTAATTCTTAACGATGTTACAGAGAGTCGTCTTGACATCAGAGAGGAGAGCAAACGGATCGTAGCAGGAAGAGACCCGTAATCCTTTGTCCTTGACTCTATATACCCCAAATTACCTCATAATGTTTAGTTTAGACCCTGCCATATAAGGAAGTTCCCTATATAAAGACCGCCTCAAATCTCTTATACAGCAAATTCCAGAGACCTCATATTACAGAGTAGCAAACACCATCTGTTCTGTTTAACCCATTAGACAGCCACACCTTAATATGTATTTGAATAAGAACATACAGAATATGCAATATTCTACATTTCCCTCTGTTTATGGTTTATTTATAAACCATAATAATGTTATTTACCTGTCCATTCATACATCATTCGTATCACATTTCATATCACATTCGTTGGGTATAAGAAGAGATGTGTTCATAGCTACCCGGTATCTGAGATTCCTTGGAAGTATTGTGTATTACCCTGTTTACAGTTTCCTTTAGTGTATTCTCCTTCTGTTTAACCTTTTCATTTATGAGTATATACAGTTTTCTAATTCTACATAGCATAATTACTTGTAAAACAATACATATTATAGATACACATACAACAATAATAAATGGATGAAATAAAATATTTACAATTGCTGATCCTACAGATGATTTAGCAAGTGTGTTTGTACTTTTAATTATGTCATTCCACCAAGAGGAACTAGAAACAATTGACCATTCATGTTCTATCACCTTTAATTTACCCTGTTCATGTTCAAATTGAATTTCTGTTTCTTTCAACTGTTTTTGTAACGAATATAATATCTTGTCTTTCCTAATCTCATCTGCCCACTTTCTCCATGGAAACTCATTTGTTTGTGAAACATTTAATTGAATAGGCATAATATCTATCTCTTGTATAGGACTATTCGATATGTTAACTTGAGTTCCTTGAATATGTATTATTAGTGGACCCCCATTGATACAATATAACTCTTTCTGTAATGTTTCTGAATGTGTACATTCTGAAAATGTAGCTCTTACTAACTCATTATTTGACATAACCTGTACACATACTTTGTCTTTTTCTATGGGAGTTACAATTTCATGAGGATTTTTAACTGTTTTAATTTTACCAGAACATGAACTTTGGTTATGAAAACATGAATGATAAATGGTTTCAACTTGGTTATTTAAACATATTATTTTGGATGCAAAATGTAGACAACTAGAAAGATCGACCTGCTCAAGTTCAGTAATGTTATTATAAGATACAAAATCAGGATATTGTAATTTATAAAATAATAATTGTGTGTTACTAATAGGAATTCCTAATACCGACTTTGAAAATAGTGTTTTTTCAATACCAGAAATTGGTATTAAAGAAGAACTTATACATATATCATTGTTACATCCCAACCATTTGTTAACCCATAAATCTGTATGATTTTTAGCGAACGCAAACTCCTCAGGTAAACTACGTTTGAGTTCTATAGGAGTAGTACCACCTTGTAATGCTTGTGCTATCACCTTAACATCTGTAGAATATTCAACTTGTATCTCTAAACAAGCTTTGGCTACCTGGGATGAATCTGCATTTCTCATTAATGCCAAAGTAGCTTCCTGTAAATGTTGAACAGAGGGTGCAATAACAGAGGCTGTGTTCATAACCATATTTTTCAATATTTGATTTAAACCTCTTTGAATATGCAATCCTTTTCCCCCTATTAACCCTACAGTTCTCAAAGCATTCTTTAATGTTTGAATATCCATAGAATTGGTGATACTTCCTATAGTACCAAATCCAGCCATAATTCCTTCTACTATATCTCTTTTTTTCTGTTTGATACTTTACTTCCTCCAAACCAATGTTCTAAGCCTCGTTCCATATTTAATAAATGTTCCTTACATTGTGGAAATTTACTTGAGATTTTCCACTGTGAAACATTAAAATGCCAAACTATTGTTGCAAATTTCCCATCTAATAATAAAGGCTTTGATTGAAAATGATTCAATTGAAAGGGACTTGATAACTTAAAAACCTTATTTTTGCATTCTACCATTCTGGGAGAGAATACATTTACCTTAACATCACCACATCTCTCATGATGATTTCTTAGCATTAAACAACATTGATAGTTTCCACTATCACTGTAGGTAGGATTGTCTAAATAGAAAACAAGCATTTCTTCCGACCAATCCACCTTTCCTAGTACACCTCTGTGAATAACCTTTGGCGTTGTATGTGACATACTACCCAAAAACATTCCTTCCCTTTTCCATGTGATTACAGACTCAGGGGGTAAACTTATATGTGTACTACATGTTAATCTAAGTCTTTCCTTTCCTTCCTGGATATTTACAAGACTAGGCTTCATTATAATATCTCGCATAACATAATCAGTTACCAGAAACATCATGTTAACTCTTACTGTCAACGATTCCCTAGATGCTCGTATTTCCCATATCCAAGGTATACCTGGAGTATTGTTTTTTAAGAGGAATTCTGGCTCTAAATGTATAAGCCAGTATTGAATTGTATAAAGTACCTCACCACCTCGTCCTCGCGTTGTTACTGAAGTTTGTGCAACGTTCACATACATGTCACCTGACCAATTTACCATTTCCTCTCCATTAACTACAATCATGATATATGCATTTTGTAATATGTTAAGTTCCCATGATCCTGTTTTTACATTGTCTTGTACAAATGAACCTTTGGTCCAACTAAATAAATCATTAGGACCTATTGTAATGTTTAAATTAATAACACTATCTCCAGTGAAATTAATTCGCACATTGCATACTTGTAGATAACCATCTTTTGTCCCGAAACAAACATGACCTTTTAATACTTGTTCATTGTCTCTCTTTTTTCTAATATTTCCAAATAAGTCATTCTTTAATTCCTGATTGAAAGTCGTTTTGTTCATCTTAAAAATAACTATTACAAGAACTGTAGTCATCAATGTTAGCAGGATGCTGACGAACACCTTCTTTCTGCTACACGGTTGTCTTTGCGAACACATCGTCTGTCACCGGCCAACTTTCGTCTGTAGGTCTGCTTACAAATTATCTAAAATAAACTAAGAAAAACAAAGCAGTATCAATATTTTACCAAATTATGTTGTAGGTTTATACAATTTACACTGATCTGCATGAACCCAAAAACAATTTTGCCTCCGTTTATTCCGTGAACCATCAAGAGGTCTTTGCACTTGTACCATTGTTTGTCCCATTGTATCTGTTATGTTATAAGGACCTTCCCAATTTGCCTCCCAAGGTCCAGTTTTCCTAAAAGTTTTTATCATGACCATACCCCCCTTTAAAAACTTTGAAAAATCAGGAGGTGCCATTTTGCACATACGAGTAGCTGCATGTGGAAGAATTTGCTCCAAATTTTCCTGCAGCATTTGCAACCATTTATTTTTAGCAATTGCATCTTTCTGTGGAGTAGACAAATATGGTTCATTAGGAAAATTTAACTGCATTTTCCTACCTGTCATCAATTCAAATGGAGTGTATTGTGTAGCTGAAGACATAGTGCCTCTAATACCCATAAGTACAGCAGGAAGTGCCTGTACCCATGTGTTGCCTTTCTCAAGTAACATTTTTGAAAGTCTAGATTTCAATGTTCGATTCATACGTTCCACAATCCCAGCAGATTGAGGATGATATGGAACATGAAATCTCTGCTCTATGCCTAGAATAGCACACAGTGCTTGCATGATTTTCCCTGTGAAATGGGTACCTCTGTCTGACTCTAGAAGTCTAGGAAATCCCCATCTTGAGAAAATGTGTGTCCATAATGCTTCAGCTGTTTTTTGTGAATCATCTTTAGTCAGAGGAATTACTTCTAACCATTTAGAGAATACATTTCCAACTACTAACGCATATTTTAATCCATTCTTACCTGTTGGTAATGGCCCAATAAAATCAATTTGTAAAGTAGTCCAAGGACCATTTGCAGGTGCTATACGTTGTATAGGCGGTTTTTGTCCTTTAGGTCTGGGATTTATTTGTGCACATATCAAACATGATTGCACTACCTGTTGTACAGTCTTTTCCATGTTATCCCAATAAAACTTATCTCTGAGTACCTCTAACAATTTCTGCTGTCCAATGTGACCTAAACTTTCATGATTGTATTGTGTAAATAACACTTTTAGATGTTCTGGCATGACCGGACACAGTTCTCCGTTTTGGTCATGACACAAAACCCCGTTCTCATGAACAAATGGAGGTTTTGGATCAACCCGAGAAGCCGCAAGGGACGAATCCTTCGCATGTTCTTCTGCAAAAGATGGAGGCTGTGTGTTAGTCTTTCTAACCACTGCTACTGACATAGGCTCTGTCTGCAATGCATTTTCACCAGTTAAAGCTGCTCTTTTTGCAAATTTATCAGCTATTTCATTTTCTTCACTAAGTAAATCTTTACCTTTTTGATGGGCAGGAACTTTAACTATAGCATGTAAACATGGCTCTTGAGACGCAATTCCAAATATGGTCTCTAGTGTCTCTTTGTGTGCTAACACTTTATTTGAGGCATCTACGAACCCTCTTCTTTTCCATATAGCTAAATGTTCTGTTAGTGATCTAACCACATATGAACTATCACTATATATCACTAGGGGACGCCCTTCTTTTTCCTCAAGTGTCAGTACTGTTTTTAATGCTTCTAGTTCTGCTCTCTGTGCTGACAAATGACCTGGCAATTTATGCTCTACTGAATATCCTCGTTTTGGATACCATATAGCATAACCTGTATAGTACTTCCCATCTGAACAGAATCTGGACCCGTCAACAAACACAGGTTCATCAGATTCACTTGCTTCCTTTCTGAAAAGAGAAAGAAAATTCTCTTCAACTTCTGCTAAACATTCATGGGGTTTACCCTCATATTGCATTAGTTGTGGAAGTACATACTTTGCCTTATGTTCTACCTTAATTTGCTTTGGTGATAGAGCTATTAACCATCGTGAAAATCTCTGATGTGACACACCTGGAATTCCTTTTTCAAGAAGTAATTTTAAAGGTGTGTGTGGTGTTTGCAGAATTATGTCCTTGAATCCCACTATGTGTTCAGTTGCCATTACCACAAAATGTACTCCTACCAAATGTCTGGCACAAATTTCTAGCCCTCTTTCCACTGGGGAAAGAATTTTAGAAAAATATCCCACTATTCTCCATATCTCTTGCTGCAATTGTAATAGTACTGCGGAGACAGCCGTCTCTGAAGTATGTACTTGAATTGCAAAAGATGCAGTTGGATGTATTGTCGCTAAAGCAGGTGCAACCTGTAAGTCTCTTTTAAGTACCTCAAATGCATTCTGATGTTCATCTGTCCATGGTCCAAATGAAGATTCACTATTTTTCAAGAGATCATATAAAGGTTTGGCTTTTTCAGCGAACCCTTCAATGAATTCTCTGGAAAAATTCATTAATCCTAGGAACTGGCGTAAGGCCTTGTGTGAAGTCGGTACAGGAAGAGAAGAAATTGTTTTGATTCTTTCCTGCACTGGCTTCTTGTGTCCTGGACCAATGTGTACACCCAAGTATTGTACTTCTGGTTGCATCAGTGTTACTTTGCGTGTATTCAGTTTTAAACCAGAATCCTGCAAAAGGAAAAATAATTCATTTAACAGAATCAGGTGTTCTTCCTCAGTTTCAGTCTGCAAAAGCATATCATCAACATATTGTAACAAGCATTCTGGCCTAGAAAACTTAGACAAAACGTTTGCTAATGCCTGATGAAAATATGTCGGAGAACTGTGAAAACCCTGGGGTAACACAGTAAACACATATTGCTGATTTTGAAATGTAAAAGCAAATTTATACTGACAACTATGCTTTAGTGGTACAGAGAAAAACCCATTACTTACATCTAGTACTGAGTATACCTTAGCCGTTGACGTCAATCGTGACATTATATCTGGGGTTTCTGCCACCACATGTGCAGAAGGTGGTGTGTATTTATTTAATGTACGTAAATCAATTGTTAATCTCCAGCAATTCGATTCTTTTTTCAAAATTGGCCACAAATTATGATTGCATGGACTATTTGCTTTTCTAATTATTCCTCTCTGTTCCAAATCATTAATGACACTTGCAATAGAATCAATTGAATCTGGGGGTAATCTATACTGCCTCTGTGGGAGTGGATCATGACCTTGAATGTCAATCAGCACATTTTTAAATCTTCCACATTCATTTTTACTTTGTGCCCATAAATCTGGATAACTCTGTACAATCTCTTTAAGTTCAAGGTTATCCCTAGTATTAGGCCATTGCATTTCTGTAGACACTACATCTACTGGACAAACAATTCCTAGCTCCCCATATTCAGTAGGATCCAATAGCACTGGTTTCCTACCCTTAGCATCTTTCCAAATAGCTTTGTTTCCCAAATCTACAATCCAACCTCTTTTTTGCATAACATCTGTGCCTATGATATTATCAACATTTTTGCAATACCAGATATCCAGATATCAATTTTTGTTTTTAAACACTGAGGTATTTCTAAAGTAACATTATTTACTAATGTTGCCATAGATCCTCCACTTCTGTCAAAACCTACAATTGTACATATAGGTGCACTTGGTGATAAAGGTAGTTGTAAACTAGTTATACTTAACTGAGCACCTGTATCAACAAGAAATTCTGTGTCATAACCTTTTAAAGAACATTTAATGTATGGTCTACCACATCCATCTAAATTTAATGGAGCCAAAAATTCAAGTGGACGTGGCCTGATTCCTTTAGATTGTCATTGTGAATTTAAAATTTGGTCAGTCTGATTAGACATGTTAGAAATCACACCCTGTCTGTCTCCTGTGTTTGAGGAAGCTACAATTTCTCTCACTTGCCTTATCAGAGGAGTATATGGTGAATCTCTGGTGTTTTCTATATTAGTATTATTGTGAATAAATCCATTTGATTTGCCATAATCCCTTGATTGTAAATCATGAAAATAACTCCTGCAGTTTCTCTTTATATGACCTGGCTTGTTACAATAGAAACAGACCAGACTATGTGTCGAGTTTCTTTCATAGTGTGAGTGGGGCATATTAAAACTTGGAGCTTCTCTCCTCTTTGTCTGAGTTCTAGCAGCTGCAGGAGGCGAGGGAGGAGGGGACTTTCTGTATCTGGGTTTGTCCTCTCC